TGTGTTCGTCAATCTAGGAATAAGTGGATTCACTTACAACGAATTCCTTTTGATAACGTCGGCGTGACAGCAACACCTCGCGAAGAGTTGCAATTGGAAGAGGCGTGCTCCACTGTGTTGAGAAACATTTCGTTTCGGCGAGGCAGTTGCTGCACTGTTGAGCGAAGGTTTCAGTGTTCTCTTGAACTCCGCCATCGCGATTTGGAAACAAAAATTGACCGAGACACGAAAACTAAATTTCGCACATCATGTAGTGAAGTGTTTTATTATGGCTAGCATCGAGAAAATCTTCCACGGGTTTACTCCGCATATAAGTTTCTCCAAAAATTGGACGTTTCATATTGAGTCTGCTCCATCTTTAGAGAGTATTATGCAGCAACAATTGCAGAACTTCATGTCAGCAATGCGTTGCAGTATGCAATAATGACACAGCAGATATTGTTTTTGTAACTGTTCTTACATGATAACCGTTGAACATGTAGCCAGCTTGATCGGAAACGACTGATTTTATCTGGCAAAACCTTTGTGCGGAGGACAACCCCTGAAAGTTTTGGTGATTAAGAACTTTCGACAAGCATAAACAACTGAAGTACCTCTTAACAGAAGTCATCATTTAATACGTTTTGATGAGAGTGACTGTTCATTCAGGAGCGCTTCTGGTAAACGTAATTTATTGTAGAACATCATATTTTAAGTTAACCATACTAAATAATATGAGAACGATAACAGTTTAAGAAATAAATTCACTTAATCTTGAATTGTCAGAATTTTCCTGAAACAGATTCGGATTCTGGACCCATAGTTTATCAATGGACAATTTTCATGAGGAAATCCTGAGGAAATGGTAAGGAAATCGAGATGCAAAACAGGCATGGAGAAGCTTCACTGACAGTCGACGCGCTTCATATCGTCACCGATAACATCATCAGGACTGAATGAAATACTCGTCTACGTTTTGGCAAAATAACAATGAGTCAAAAACATGTTCCTGACCGAAAACTATCTATCACTCAGTCGCGAAGTAGCATTTTTTGTAACAGATCACTGACTGCACCCCAGGTTTGACCGGTATGAAAGTATGAATAGTATTCATTGTACATTTGCTGTTTTCGTTTCTTTCACGTTTAACCTCCCAAAAAAATCAACCCAGCGTTGTACACCATTAACGTCGTCTATTAGGTTAGGGGCTATGATGGAGACAGAACGCATATAAGTAATACCCAAAGACAACTTCATAGCAGAGCACTGCATCCCATGTTACTGATGAAGGGCATGGCGTCGGCAAGGCAAGTGCTCAGGTAACTGATGGAGACAACACCAGATTATGGACATTAATAAGGGAATCCGTTTATATTTTTTGACAAATTTCCATGTTCTACATGAAAATTGTTCGATGAACAATTTTCATCCTCTCA